ATTCCGGATGGTTAACAGATCGAGTTTGGATTTGGAAGAAAAGATTAGGCAACTGATATCTGGTGTGATCGCACCTGCGCAATAAGGGTCGCAGGTGCGGTTTGGGCGAAGCTGCGCAGTGACCGCAGGTGCGAAGGGTTGTCCGCACATGCGAGGTCGCAGATACAGAGGTACGAGAGTGAGAGAAGAATCTGGGAGCGCAGGTGCGAGGGTATGTCTGCACCTGCGAAGGCGCAGATGCGGAAGAAAAGGCGCATGTGCGGAGTCGTGCTAGGCAGAGGAAATGCGCAGTTTGGCCGCACCTGCGAGACTGTAGATGAGACGAAGGGTCCGCAAATGCGAAAGTCGGGGCTGGGCAGTGTCTCCTTTAAAGCGAGGGCTTGACTCTATCTCATTTCATTTTCGCCCATGGGAGCCGATTTTGGAGCATATTGGAGTGACATCTTCATCAATCATAATGGGGTAAGTGATTTTTTCACAATTTTGAGTTAAATACATGAGTTTACATGGATTTGAACATGGAAATTAATATAAATTGTGGGGGTTTTAGTAGAAAACCTAGAATTTGGTATTTTGGATTTTGACCATGAATTTGAGCATGGAATTGGGAATAAATCATATATTTGAGTTCATAAGGTTATGGGTAATGAATATCTTCGAAAATTTTCGAAATCCGGGCACATAGGCCCGAGGGTGATTTTTATCGACTTTTCGATCGGGACTAGAAATTACTATAAATTGGATTATAATGAGTATTCGAGTGTATATTAATGGGTTTGCATAATTATTGGCTAGTTTTGGAACTACGGAGCGAGGTAAGTCTCCTTTCTAACCTTGTAAGGGAGGAATTCACCCCATAGGTAAACTAAATTATTGTGTGCTTCTATTTGTGGGGGTCACGTACGCACGTGACGAGAGTCCGTACGTAACTACTAGCTATGCCTATGTCCGGGTAGTTTTAGGCTCACATCAAGCCTTGTTGATATTGTTATTGATTTATGTTTATTGTTTGCCTTGAGAGGGAGCGAGATTGAATCCGCTTATTAAATATTTAGAAAGAAGTTGAAATTGAAGAATTTAAGATTTAAAAGGTTTCATTTGAACTTCGTAATTTCGAAAAGAATTGAGGAATAATTTAATAGCTGAAGAAATCTATGTGTAACCACGTCGCATGTATGTTTCGCATGCGGGGTAATTTCCTTAAAAAACTATAAGGTGAATTTCCCTTATTTTGAAAAGAACCAAGAAAGAGATATGATTTTAAATGTTACATTTATGTTTGACCGCGTTGCACGTATGATTCGCGAGCGAGGTATTTCCTACTACTCTCATGGGAGCGGGCCGTTCGCCTCGGCAGATTAAATAGATGCATCTATGATTCGCTCCATTCGACCCTCTGGCAGTACACAGTTTAAATATTTGTTGGATCGGGCCGTACGACCTCGACATGATTTGCGCATGCTTGTATTGCTTGCCTTGAAATTTATAAATAATGATATTGCCGCCCTGGTCTGAGATAAATTGATAAAGGATGAACGGTGAATTTGGAAATCTCTTATTAACAAAGGAATTGTTTACTTGATTCATGATTTTCTTGAGTTTACTGCCATTTTTTTAAATAAATCCACGACTAATTATATTATTGATGGCCACAGTAAGTGTCGAAGTGGACCCCTCGTCATTATTTCTTCGAGGTTAGACGGGATACTTACTGGGTACGCATTGATTTACGTACTCATACTATACTTGCTGCACGTTTTGTGTAAATACATATATGACTAGTAGCTTTGTGGGCGCAGGGGCACGGTTATTACTGGGACTTAGGTGAGCTGCATCTAATGTACGACCCGCAACCAACAGAGTCTCCTTCAGAGTATTGTATTTTCTTTCCTGTCCAAATTTGTATTCCAGACAGTTATTGTATTTTATTCTAAATTCCTAGAAAATGCTCATGGACTTGTGACACCGGGGTCTGGGATGATTATGGGATGTTCAGTATTGAAATTGGAAAACATTGTTATTATTCTGTAAATTCATCTTTTACTAGATAAATTGAAGAAAATTTACGATTTCAAAAATATTAAAATGAGAATTTAATTAACTATTTAGTGTTAGCTTGCCTTACAGTGGTGTCCGGCGCCATCACGACCATTAACGGATTTTGGGTCGTGACACTAATAGTCGAGAATTCACTAAAATAAGGATTACACCATGTTCGAACTTGATTTTTTTGATAAAGTTTAAACATCTTATTAAACATCATGGAACATTTAAAGTTATTATACATGGCGGTGTATTTCATACCATTGAGAGTTGGTCATTCTAAAATATATAACAATTGAAGCAAGACCTCTACGTATAAGAGTGTTGTCTAGTAAAGTGTTGTCAACAAGTAATGTCTTTAAGTATGAATATTGTATATTAAATATTCGACTGTAATATCAATATGTGTTGATATTAAGTAATGCTATGATCGATTATAATAGGTATTTAGTCTTCAAATTGCATACATTGCCTTAATATTATGTTGTAATAATATTCATTGACTATATAATGAAAATTATTTTCACCAATTATAGGCTTAGGTTGATACCGATATAATTGATACGTTAGAGTAATCCATTTTATCCAATTCAAAGTTTTCAATTTGTTGAATAAGATGTTTACAACTTTAAGTTATTCACAAATAATTGATATTTTTTTGATTTAAGGTAACTAAATTAATACTTTACACTAACGAAAAACTAACAATCGAGGAACTACCCCTATGCCTGTCCAATTTATGACTGATATACCATTCTTAATTCCTTACTATGAAATTTTATTGGTTTATATTTACAATGGATCTATAGACCACCAGTGGGGTAGACTATATACTATCGGTTTATTCAAAAACTGTTGTAAAAATTTTAATTCATTGACGGGAAATTCAAATATTTAGAAGGCTGAAATTTATATCCTCTGAGTTGTATGTTTCTAATGGAACTTCTTTATTTTATTTTGGGGGCTTTTTGCACTTAAGTGTTGTCAAATGAATAAAAAACAACCAAAGTATAAAAATAAAAACAGGGAACAAAATTCAAAAAAAATAGGGCACAAAATTAAATAGACAAAAACTTAAGTTAAATATTTTAATTAAATAATTTCCCTCACAACAACATACATGTTTTTTCATTAACTAAAGAAAAACAATTAAACTGCAGTGGGAGAAGGATCACGGGGAGGAGAATTTTCTGGGCTAACATAGTGGTCAGTATTTTCACCAGTCCTACGAAGGAGAATCCGCAACAAGCGTGTTATACGACAAATGTTCCTTTCTTGCCTCATCTTGTCTTCTTCGATCTCTCGGATGAGCCTATCCAATGATTCCCTGACGAAAATGGCGTCCATGCTTGGCCTTAGCCTCAGAGGCATTTTTAAGTTAAGTGATTGGGCTATTTGAAAGAATGATGAATAAATATTTTCATTAGATACAGTGTATTTATAGGCAAAATTTGACACTAAATGGTGCCTTTCTATATGACTTCTCGTAAATGACGTGACTGTTGAGTGTTTTGAGAAACGAATTTATGCTTTGAATCAACATATTCGATGTATTTCAATTAATTATGCAAGTTCTTTTCATATTGGCTGCCAGCTGTTATTAACATTAGATATTAAATTAACTACCTAAATCAGTGGTTGTCAATAGACTACCTAAACCAGCGCAACAAGTCTTGATTAAGTTGAAAATATCGATGGGAGTTGACAATAGAACATTGGTTGATTACAGGTGGTTGAAGATAGAATAAGGGGATTGATCGTAAAACAAGGAATAAGTATGTCACATGACTCCTTCTTAAACTAAGGAGGTTGATTCTAGATCATAGGTCTACAATAGACAATGTGAGTGGTTGATTCTAAAACAGTAGTCATGAGACAACTTGGTCACATGACTCCTTCTTAAAATAATGGGGTTGATTCTAGATCATAGGTCTACAATGGACAATGTGCGTGGTTGACAATAAAATAGTAGTCTATGAGACAACTCGGTCACATGACTCCTTCTTAAAATAAGGGAGGGTTGACTCTAGACCATAGGTCTGTAATAGACAATGTTGGTGGTTGACCATAAAACAATAGTCTACGATGTACAATGCAACAGTTGATAGTAAAAACAACAAGTCTAGTAGAAACAACAAGTGATTACAAATAATAAGTTTAGAATATTAAAAGAGTTAATTATCTTTATTACAACACCAGTAGCTAAAAGATCAAGAATGCTGCAACAATACTTTACAAGTCATTTTCTTGTGGCCAAGTTCTTAAAATGAAATATTTAGTTTTAGCTTTCTTCCTGCTGTCATAAGAACTAGGTTCTAAAATACTTGGCCATCTCTTAAACTTCATTTTATCCTTTGTAGGCTCGACATCGGGTGGAAGTATTTTTGTGGATTGAATCTCGCCAGGCACCACCCACTTCTCCTCTATAGGAATTACGTGAATGGTTCCTTCATATGCAGTCAAATATGTTGAAACCTTATAGAACGGAGAGGAGTGATCGTAAATGGAGGAACCATATCCATACCCAAAGCTCAATCTCAGAGCTGCCATTGCATGTGGGCAGGGTATTTTTTCCAAATCAAACTGACAACAAGAACATCTATTCAAATTCAGATCAACTACTGTATCCCTACCGCGCCCGACGATGCTAAACTGGTTTTTTTCCAATTTATGCACCCGAAGCGCATCGCTGACAACCATATTATTCCTAATCTTCTTTTCAGCAGAAGGAACAAAGAGGGTCAAAATATTTTTTATTTCATTACGTTGCTCCTCGAATATTTCTGCAAACTTTCGAATAATATGATCGAATAGTCCAGTGATCGGGAAGTCTCTTTGATCCTTAAGCATTGCGTTAAGTGATTCTGCAATATTTGTTGTCAACATGCCGTATCAGTTTCCTGGAAAGAAGGCCCTTCTCCACTTTTGGAATCCAATTTCATTCACGAGACAATTAGCTACTTCCCTGCTTTTATCATGCAAATGCTGCAAATGGTCAAAGAATTCCTCAGTATTGTATGACTGTGCGACAGAAAATAAATCTTAATAAAAATTCCACAATGAAACCTCTTGCGCATATTTTCAGCAATGTGATGCGTGCAAAAACCACGATGAACGGCAGTAAAAATATTTTTGAAGCCATTCCCAATAGACAGATGCCGATCAGATATAATGCACAATTCATCACTGTCGTCAACAATGTGCCACAACTTTTCAAAAAAGTAGGTCCAAGAATTATCGCACTCTTTATCGACTACATAAAATGCAATTGGAAAAATGTGATTCTCTGTGTCTTGTGCCATAGCAGACAACAAGCAACCTCCATACCTGCCACTCAGAAATATCCCATCAACAGCAATAACCTTTCCCATATGCGCGAATCCCTTAATGAAAGCTCCGACATATAAGAAAAAATATCGAAAATGCAATTTAGCATCAACCTTCAAATCAACAATACTTCCTTCATTATAGGATATCATAAAATGGCGATACGTTTCCAACAAAACATACCCTTCTTCCTGAGTACCCCTAATTATAGCCTTAGCTATTTCACCTACCTTCCAGCTCCTCCAATAAGTAAGATTTTAATTAAAATCTGCAAAAATAGCATCTTTCAGATCTGATGGGGATGGGCTTTTGCCATTAACATACCGTTCCTGGTAATATGCATCCAAAATCTTCGACGATGGGTTAGGATGATGGCTTGATATGTGTTGTACCCCGCATGTGTGCTTGCCATGGTGCTTGGTAAAAAAAACCCTATCAAAACTCTCATACTTTAAAGCGCATAACTTCCACGGGCAACTCACATCTCGGCATGCCACTGAAGTTAATTTACTGCTACTCTTCTTCATACAAAACATAAGATGCATTTTTACAGAAGCAATCTCCAACTGTTTTATTAGATCCAATTTGTTGTCAAAACATTTCCCAAGGAAAAAACCTGTACCATCAGGGTGGCTGTGTTGTGTAGATAACGAGTCCACCAAACCTTCATCCCCAACTGCCCGACTGACAATATCTAGGAGCTCTTTCGCTCCATCTGCATCTTCTGGACCATACCAGTTAATTTTATTGTCACCAAAATCATGCAAGTCATCACTAAATCCATTGAAGCCATCTTTCACCATTCTTTCCTCCTCTACTTCTAAAATTGGTGGTTGTGTTGTTGTTGTTGTTGGTGGTGGTGCAGCTGCGGCATTTGAACCTTGATGAGACCTTTCAACAGGAACTTCAACCCCTTCTTCAAACTCATTTTCAACCACAAATATCTTCACACAAGGCCTCATACCATCAATTGTAACATCAAGGAGGTACGATTGCAAATCATTGTCATTCTTAATGAAGGAAGGAGGAATCTTGTCCCTCTTCGGTGCAGAGCTAAGCATATATGTAATATTCAAATTCCTTGGAGAACATGTTAGTTTTACACGTTTAATGATGACATCAATAAATTCGTCAAATGTACAAATGCTAGGTATACAGATAGGTACTGTAACCTTTATATAGGAATTCTAGTTCCAACTAGTTGGCCCCTCAACCCATTCACCAGAATATAGACCACATACTAATATATAATCTCTCATCAGTCTATTGTGAACCGGTGGTATATTTTAACAGTGGTCTATTGTATACTAATGGTCGAGCACTGTGCAGAAAATATTTTGCAGAAACCCAAATTAACAATGACGAAAAAGATGAGATGAAAACACCTACTAGATGAAGGAAGTACACAATATACCACCTGGAATGAATTATCAATCCAATGTACCACCAATTTCTTCCCTAAATTCGATAGATCCGAAAACCCTCCAATTTGTCAATTTCTTCAAAGTAAATGATTAATCAAAAGAGTGAAACTTTGAGAGGAATGAGGAAGAAGGGAGACGACCTTTGTGTGTTGAATGCAATAAAAACAAGATGCAATAGAGGAGTCAGCCGTGGGAAATGGGGATAGGGGCGACAGATGAGGCAGGAAGGGATGGGTTTTTTTTTATTTTTATTTTTTAAAAATTTGGTAATATTACATTTATATATGTTGAGGCCAAAGTGTAGTAACTGAAATTTTAGGGATAAAGACTCAGCTTCCCCTTCACTTTATAATCCCACTTAACCATTAATTAAGCATGAATGTCAATCCCACAATAATTAAAACCTGAAGGTCGCTTGGCCAATTCATGTTTAAAAAGAGGTCACCTCGCCAACTATCCCAGGTGACTTACGACTAGAATTGATTCTTTTATTTCTTTTGATAACAACAACAGCATACCCAATATATTTCTATAAGTGAGGTCTGGAGAGGGTAATGTATACGGAGACCTTATCCCTATCTTGTGCAGATAGAGAGATTATTTCCGAAAGACCCTCGGCTCATATAAGCACCTTCCGTTTTCTTTTTATTGAGAATAATAAGAGCTACTCCTTATATTTACAAGTTATAAGGTAACACAACATTATCCAAGCATTTGAGCCTTGTTATTTGTTAAAAGGTGCTTTAAAAAATTATAAACAATTTCGAGATTTGTTCTTGTTTTTTTCTCTTATGTCTTTTCCTTACAATATGCAAATACATATTCTAATTTCTAGCAGTGGTGGATGTGGCGTATGAATAGCAATTGTGAGCGCACTATACATCTAATATATTCGGTTTCTTTGTATGTAGCTGGATGTATTAAAAAGTAATATATATATATATATACAATTATTATCAAAAAATTATTATGTAGGTACAATAATACTACACCAATTAGATTAAACTATTAAATAGACTTTACTAAATGCAGGAAAAGAAGGTAGTTTTTTTTTTGGTGTAAAAAAATCTTAATTTAGTTTGATATTTGCAATTGCTTAGTTATACCTTCCATTAAATTGTTGGGCCTTTATACCTTTCCGTTAGCAAATTGTCTTAAATTTGTCCTCATCATTGACATCGCTCCTAGAAGGTAGACTTCGCGTGTCCAAATTCTTCAAGAAAAAAAGCCTAAATCTACCCTCAAATTTTGACGATGAATTAAAATTACTCTTAGTTTGAAGTTTCATTAGGGTCAAGGGCAAAAATGAAACTTTTTCATGATGGGTTTAATATTAGACAAAAAGTTTGCACAAAACAAACTTGCTCAATTTCAAATACCTAGTACATGAATAAATTTGGCCCTTTTTCCTATTTGATTTTATTTTTAAAAAAATTCAATCACATAAGAGAATTAGGAAAGAGAAAATAAAATAAAAATTAAATTCATAACTAAAGAGGGGTCATGATTCTTGAAATTCTGCTAATCCTAAAAAAGTACTCAATGAAAATAAAACCAAAAACAATTTAACTGAGGCTAACCTGCTAAAGTACATCCTTTCAAACTTAACTTGAGGCGTGAACTTGGCCAATCACATAAATTCAATAAAATAAATCCAATTTAAAAAATAATGAGTACTGATTTACTTACTATAATAAGGTACAAAAGGATAGTGGGGATGAGTCTCTCCATCTATATATAGCTAAACTTATACACTGCTTTTACATCAAATCTCTACCCCTCAAACTCAAAAATTGTCCACTTGTAGGAAAGGAGATTATTGGGTATGTCTTCTTTTTTCTCATTCTTTTCTACTACTTTCACATACCAAGATTCAGTTTTTTTTCCTTGTATTTATGCTATAGAACAGTTACACTCGCACCAACTTCTCTAGTTTCAATAGCAAATTTTCAATTTAACCTATTTTTTCAGTCACACCATGTAAATTATATGTTTTGACCATGAAAATTCAAATTTTACTTGAACTTGAATTTCGGGATTTCTCGAAAATTTGAAAAACTTCCAAATTATATTTATATCATAACAGAACCTTAATTTTCAATATCATTTTCACTTTATTTTTATACTTTTTTTCCGAAATTTCACAATTCTTATGTATATAAAATAAATTTTACTCATTTGTCATTTCTCTATTCCAAATCTTGGATCCCTCTCCTTTCACTTTCAAGATGTCTCTTCAACATTCTTGATTTTGTAAATCCATCAATATTTGTAATACTGTATATATGTATTAAAAGATTCACTAAATAAGTACACTAATTGATTTCAAACCATTAAATCAAAAGAATAGTGGTAGAATCCAAACCAGTAACTCATAAAAATTTAAATCTTGGATCCGGGACAATAATTTAACTATACTGCCATCTCGGTTTTTTTTTCGCAGGGTTGTTGATAGTGTGAAAAATGGCGACACGGAGTTTGGAGAAATTGGCATCAATTGATGCACAGTTAAGGGCATTGGTTCCTGGCAAAGTTTCTGAGGATGATAAGTTGGTTGAGTATGATGCTTTGCTTTTGGATCGGTTTCTTGATATTCTTCAGGATTTACATGGGGAAGATCTTAAGGAAACGGTATGCATTATCTGTTTTCCCCCCTTTTGTTGTTATTGCCTCATTCTTGTTCTGTTATTTGAGGAATTATGCGCAATTCAGGCAATTACTGTTTGAATTGGATTTTGTTGGGGTTGTGTGGGGTTGAAGTTTATGAGTTCGGGATTGTGGTGCTTTTAAGTTACTGGGTTCTAAATTAATAATTTATTCATATTCATTCGGCC